CTTCAGAAAATATATATGTCTATTCGCTTTGCAACATTTGAAAAGTTATGGATTTATATACATTCTAAACTATTAAACTTGGTGCACTGGGAACATAAAACCTTGATAAAATATATTTTTTGAATAGGTCGCCTGAAACTTGAACAAGAGTTTTTAGAAGCTGTGATACAAGGTAGCATTGACGTGGTGAAAGAATGCTTGAAAAAAGGCGTTGATCCAAATTTCATAAGCGAAGAAAATTTGTCAGCTCTTCACATAGTTTCTGAAACAGGACATAGACAAATGGCTCAGGTTCTGCTGGACGCCCCTGGAATAAATTTGAATATTATGAGTGATATGGATATGACTCCTCTGATGATTGCAAGTTTCTATTCGACCAGAGGTATTCTGCAGGTATTAAAACCTAATCGATTTATTTTCAAGGTCATGGGTGATATGAAATGGTGTGACATAGAACCGATATTGGAAAATGTAAATATTTTGTGAATACCAATCATAGGTGATATGGTTGAACAGTGAACAAATAAAATATATCTTATGAGGCAAAATGATCTGCCTGTGTGTAAGGAATGAGAATACTGAATCTGACATTGAATGAGATTTATGCATTTAATAATAATAATATGTCTTTATTCATCACAATAATAAGTACAGATTAAATAAAATTCAAAGAAATGATGAATAGGCGGAGTTCAGCTATGAGAGCTGCTTTTAAACCCAACCTCGATTGGTATGTATTTTTATCAATTTGTATAATATTCGGATATGTGAGAAATTGCCAAAATCTTTTGCATATGTCGTGCCCTATCACTGTCGTGTAAGAAACATGTCTTTCAACCTCTTCTTAAAGTTTCTCAATGAACTGTCTTTAAAGTCTGTAGGGATGGTGTTATACAATTTTGCCGCATTGTACGAGAAACTTCGAGTAAATATTGCTGTGGAATGCCTGGGAATGAGCAAAGTATGCCTATTACGAGAAGTACCACTGTGTGTTAGTGCAACTAATCTTTCACGTAAGTAAGGGGGATATCCCGAAACAAGAATTCTATGCGTGAAACTAAGCAAATGGATTGCTCTTAGATATTTGAGTGAAAGCCAGCCAGAATCTCGAAAGGACGGACTTATGTGATCATACTTTCGGATACCGTAGGAAAATCTGACATAACTATTTTGTATTCGCTGGAGTCGCATCACATCTAATTGTTGTAAGGCGGGTCCGTAGATACAATCGCAGTAAGCTAATCTTGAAAAAATAAGTGTTTCACAGAGACTCAACTTCAGACTTTTTGATAAAAGTTGTCTCAATATATTGAATTACGTTTTACACAGATGACTTACATGCTTCGTGAATCTCAAGTCTGTATCTAACCACAAGCCCAGATTTTTACATTCATTCACAAAAGGAATTATGTTATTGTTGACACGGATCGACAATGACTCACACACAATATTTCTTTTACTTTTGGGACCAAATAACATGACCTGGGATTTCTTTGGATTGATAGTAAGATTATGTGCACAGGATACATCANTTGATTATTTTTTGTTTTTATGCTGTACAGCAGTAATATTTATAAAAAACAGCTGTCTGGGATCAAATATTCCAGATTTTGAATAAAGTAGATCGCTAGGGTAGTCGTAACCTTTTCTTAGGATACATCTGATAAATCTCTTCTTATACCTCAAGGGAATATAGATGAGTTTTCGACACTCCACCCCAACCATTATACCATATCTCAGATGGGGCTCTACTAAACTCTTATATAACATAATTTTTTGTTTTTGATTGGATATGTTTGCTATCCGTTTGAATTCGTAAAGTATGCAACGTAATTTTTCAAATATGTGGTCTATGTGCTGGTTCCAACTGAGATTTCTGTCTAAAATTATTCCAAGATATTTCATTTTCTTTGTGGGTTTGATGACTAGCGTATTGGAGATTTTGATATCATATTCTGGTAGAGAGTTGTCATAACTACTGAATGGTGTAATAGGTTTTCTCAAAGTTAATAGATGAGATATTCTTATGGATACGAGTAAAGCTTAATGTAGTGATTCTCTATTATCTGCTGAGCTGGAGGCGATCCAAAAGGACTCTCCGGCCGTTTATTTCTTCGAGAGACTATCACTTATCCAGAATCAGGAAAGTGATTTGTTATGCCTTTCTTTGACCAAACTCATTGACTTCTTCGAATATTATCACGTGAATTATGGTCATAATTATGGAGTTTACAAAACTTGGTGCTCTTTGAAAGCAGACCTTCGATTACCCAACCTTCATGCTTACGTTAAACGTATCATAAAAGTCTGCGAAGTATGCCAAAAAGCCAAGATTACAGTATTGTCCAGAACCGCTTTAGAAGCGGTATTTTCGGAAAAGTCAAATGACCTTATTTCGGTCGATCTGAATCATTCTTTCTCAATTTAGTTGGATTTACTGCTTTTTTTGTGATAAACTCAAAAATCGACAAGTCAGTGTCAATTTGATATCTTCTATATGTTGAGTGATTTCTTTCGTTAGCTCTTGCTTTCATGTCATTGCCATACCAAGGAACATCATTTAATTTGTATTTCACAGTTCCAACTGCAACAAACTCATTATCGTATGAAGGCTATTTTCCGGGTTTTGTGGCCGTGGTCTGTAGGTTTTTATGCCTGACGTTTCGTTTACTGCTACGGTAGACATTTTCAAAGGCAATGTGGTAACGGTCGCAATACCTGAGCTGGTGCTCTGGTTCTTGTTCCTGTTGTATCCAACGCATTACTTACAGTTTCCGTACTGGTGCTCTATTTATATTGTTCTAAATTGTTTTACCCATTCGTGTTTCTCTAAGGATAGGTAGCCAGGTTTTCTTGATATTCGTTGTCTCTTATTTTCTATCGAAATCATCCCTATGCTTTTGAATCTCTAATGCTTCTCTATATATTCTTGAATAGTAATTCTGGGTACTGTCAAATATTACTGTATCTTCGAATGAAATGATGTGGGAACCTTCTTTGTTGAGATCATGTTCGGCCACAGCCGACTTGTCGGTTTATCCGAGGCGACAGTTTCTCTGGTGTTCGGAGAGACGGGTCCCTATACTTCATTTCGTTGTTTCGATGTAGACCGACCCGCAGTTACACGGGATCCGGTATACCCCTGGTGTTGCTAGAGCTTCTCTAGAGTTCTTCACTGACCTGAGGCTTTGCCTGATGGATTTTGTTGGCCCGAATATTGGTTTCACGTCGTGTTTCATTAAGATTATACCAATCCGATCTGTGACATTTTTTACATAGGGATGGAAAGTTTTTCCCTTGAATGGCCTGGCTGGGGTTGCTTTGACATTCTCTCTCCTGGGTCGTACGACCCTCAGGTTTACAGATTCGTCGTGTTCCTTCAACCAATCTTTGAATTACCCCTCTCTTTTGTTGTGGCTGGTGGTTCGAGTTTTTGTTCAGGTATCTGTGTGTGCGCGTTGGTTTTCTGTACACTCGGTGGCCCAGTGTATCGTCTTCAAGTCTGTTTACAAGAATATATAAGAAGGCTAGAGTCCCTTTGATTTTCTCGTTCCAATGTGAATTGGATTTTTTGGTGAGTGCGGAAAATCTTATATCGGTGAAACTAAGAGGCCATTGAATGTTCGCATTGCCGAGCACAAGAAACACACACACAGTGAGGGGAAAGCAGCAGAGCATGTTTGGAACCACCCACATAACATCGAGTGGTCCCAAGCTGAGATCATACACAGGGGGTTACATTTGTTTATTTTTTGTATCCAGACGGAGTAGTAGAATATATTATTAGCTTTTTACAGAGTTGGATTAGATTATTTGGGTACTTATTCCAATGAAAACACATTCCACTCATTCAGAAACTTGTTTTTACACGTTTCTGGCTGTTGTTACCGCCAACTACTTAGCCTTCGAATAGCTTCCAATTCTCGCTGATGAATGGGATCTATATTGAATGAATTAGCATAATTCAATGCAATTTCATTCATGTTGAGCATATATACCACCATCTGTTTATGATAATTTCTCTAACCTAACAGATATCACTACCACCCATTCGGATGATAAAGTCGTGATTTGTGGTAATTTGGGTAGCGTTAACAATTTTTGTATACCCAGTAACTATACAGATAAGAACAGTAATTTATTCATCGATATTTGTGTAGTACTTCCATCACTGTTTGTAATATCTCCTTTTTTGTTTTTTCTTAGAAAAGCATTTATAAGTTATGTGAATACTGTCTTTGGGTTCGTTCCGTTTGTATTCGTATAAAACTTAATAATACATAAAATAAATAAATGAACCGAGGTATATTTTTCCTGTAATACGGCTGGTGAGATATAAAATTGCTTCGATTTTCTTTGAAAGGCATTTCCAAATTGTCATTTTTTAGTTCATAGCCGTGATGGATATGAAAATTGACAGTGAGTATTTGCAAATGTCAGTAGAGACAAAAATCAGTTTTATATAAACCCTTCAATTCGAAAAAAAGAAATTTGATGCTTTGTGTTGGAAAGTTAATTTAGAGCTTTTACACGCAATTATAACGACATTGATGAGTCAAAAATGAGTCAACTTTCAGCTCTCTGGAAGAAATACAAACTAGTTAACTGACCATTTGTTTTTTCCATCAATTCAAAAACAAAACATATTGTTCAATTCGTATCTCAATCAACTTTGAGAAACATCATTTCTATCACAACGTTGAAACGTTCCTCAATGAATTTTTCATGCGAAATCTCCGACATGAACTCTTGGTACAAGAATATACGAGAGCGTTCGATATATTGCAGACCGTTTTGGAGATCAGGCAAATAGGTTAGGTTGGGTTAGGTTAGGTTAGGTTAGGTTAGGTTAGGTCAGAAGTGAGTGGGTCTATTCGACCCTCTACCGCAACCCGCAGGACTTATTGTGGTTCACACCTATTCAAACTCGACCAAATGAACCCAGTTTTTCAACGAAGCTGATTAGTTTGTATGGTGAGCGGTCTGTTAGGTCAGATGATAAGAGTACGGCTCTGTCAAACTCTGGAAACCTGATTTGGTTTCCAGCGGGGCAGGCACAAAGTATGTGCTCTGCTGTTTCATCATTTTTCAAACAGAGGCGAAGTACACTGTCTTTCGACAGTCCGAGTCTCTGCATGTGATGAATCAGATGACAGTTACGCCTTGTAGTGAGTCAATCCTGGAAAATTCTGCCAGAGGCCCATACATCTTCTTGACATCCAGGTATTCAATGTTTGTCTGACAATGACAGATTCTAGTTCGATGGAGCTGCTTGCAGCGCCCTCCTAAAGAGAGTCAGCAGCCTCATTGTCTTTCAGGCCAGTATGACCAGGAATCCAGACCAGAGACAATCTGTTAAGTCTTCCTATCAAGGAGAGTCGTTTTTGGTGATA